GTATACCCTAGCTTGTCGTGCATTCTTTCCAAAAATCGGGACTTTTTTAAAACGCCGCGGGACGCGGGACAAATTGTTAAAAATTGGGACTGTCCTGCCAAAAGCGGGACGTCTGGTCACCTTATTCTTGATCCCGCCTGAAAGCCAGGAAAATCTATACATAGGCACCTATGTATATAGATACACATACGCGCACTTATGTGGTCTATTTAACTTTAAAAATTATTTTAGAGAGGAGATGGAACTAAATCGCCACATCAGGTGGGAAGCAAAGTACGGGGAAGCAGTTACAGCTGCGGTACGCTTAGAAAACGGCCTGAAAACCCCTAGGAGCCCAAGTACGAATGGAAGCTGAAGAGAGACAAGGGCCTCGCTGTTGACTGGAGAGAGCCTGTTGCAAGAGCTGGCCCCCTGAATGTGGACGTCTAGCCTCTAAGGCAGGAGGGAGCCAGTTCATTAAAGTGAAACCAATCCACAGAACGGTTTTCTGGGCATGAAGTCAACATGCTTCTAACAAATGACTGAGCTGTGGATTCCCAGTAATGTAGGCTGGTGGTCTGAAAACAGTGTCACCACCCTTTTCTCCCACAGAACGGATGAGGTGGGAGGCCTCTGCTTGGCACTCAGTGGGTGCTCCATCCACACCTCTTGGGTGATTCCTGAGCAGCCACCAGTTCACGAAACGTATCCTGGCCGGGCACCACCCCTCTCTGCAGAGCACAGCCCCTCGGGTGGGGCTGCAAATTGAATGGAACCCTGAACACCCCGTCCTACACGGCTGGGAAATGAAACCCCACAGCAAGCCCATTGCCTCCGGATCTGTTCTGACTCAGAGACCCTGCAGGGCAGGACTGCCCCAGAGGGCTTCCAGCTATAATCTTCACGGGGCAGAGGGCCCGTCTTTCCACCGCAGAGCGGCTGGTGAGTCAAGGCCCGTGTGATTCATTGAGGTCCCTGGGTCCAGCTGCATGGACAGAATCTATTTCTCAGAACTTTCCACGGCCACCCTTTTCTCTCCAGCACTCTTCCCAGCCACCTCCTCCTCCCGCCCCACCTCCTTCTCTCTGCACTTTCTTTCTGCTTATCCGTCCTGCCTGACGCGCTCCGTGTACTGACAGAAAGGCACATGTGGGGACTTCTCTCCTGTTTCAAGATGCTGCTTTGGCACCCACATTCCCAATGCTGGGCATGGGTGGGGGCTCAGATGTCCTACCTCATTTGCATCATTTTAGTCACCCACGATGATGGCGGCATTTCTAATACGGTGTTTGCTTTGAGAGTTTGGCTCTTACTTTAGAAACTGCCTTGAGGAGGGAGAAGCTTCTGTTTGACGCCATATGATTCTGTGTGTACGCATGCATTATATGTGTGCATGCAATATATGTGTGTGCATATATCTATGTAGGTATAGGTACTTATACACATCTATACTGGGGCAGAGAAATAGACACACGGTGTACACGAGGACTGCTCGCGGAGGCTTTCGGAGTGCTGCCGGATCAACAAGAGGAGGAGGAAAACAAACAAAACACTGCTTTGCAGGTGTTTAACATGGAAAGGGACATTTATTTTTGTCTGATTTGTTGGAGAAAGGTGTGGTCGGAAAGAGACAAACATGAGCAGAAAGTCCAAGGACAAGTGTCAGTGGTTCTTGCGACCAGGAGGACCTAATGAGGGGCTCCATTCTTCCCACAGTTTGTTCCCAGGCTGGGTTTCGGGCTGAGGAGCGGCCTCCCCCTTGGGGCAGAGGGTCAGTCCAGGGCGTGCCATCTGTGGCCGTGGAGTGCAGGCTGTCCACAGGGTGGCCAGCGCCCACCCTGGCCACTTCTAGTCTCGCTCGTACAGCCGCCCATAGAGAGCCGCTGTCACCAAGCCAGACGACAGCCCGCTCTTCCTCATGAAATAGTGGTCATTCTCCCAGCCTGCCTGGTCAGGGGTTTCCAGGGTCATCCCCGAGGTCAGAAACAGAGGGAAGATGTAGGAAGTCGTGAAGTTCCCCCAGAGGTGGAACTCAAATAGCCCCGTGGCCTCGACCACCTCCTGCCCGCAGGTGTCTAAGCCGAGGCCCCCACACTTGACCAGGGCACAAACCTGCACGTAGTATGTGCCGTGCACCGTGTGGAGGCCATCGAAGGCCCCCAGGGCGTACAGCTCAATGGCCGGGCCGGGCCGCTGATACAGCAGGTTACAGCACAGGCTGTTGGTGCAGACATGCAGGTGCCCTTCCTTCCCCCATACGGGGACCAGGGTGAAGTTGTCGTACATCATCTCCGAGTGGAACGTGGGGGCGCTGTTCATGTTCCACCTGGTGGCTCCTTCACAGCGCACCTCCTGGGCATCCTTCTCGCAGGATGGGTCGCCTGTCAAGATCTCTAAAAACTTGGCGTGGGACGACCCCGCCTTCCCGCGTGCATTCTCCATATCACTGTGGCCCAGTGGGTATTTGGGGACTTGGGCAATGATGAGGTGACCTTCGGGGCTCTCCATGTCGTGGTACCAAAAGGACTGCAGAGGGGTGTGTATGCCACTCCCTGTCATCCCCAGAGATGGATGGTGGATGTTCGCTGCCAGCAGGTTGATGCCCAGGGCAGAGGCGAAGCCTTGCTGGATTTCAATAGCTGCCAGGAGCGGGAGCTGGTTCATCCAGGCGGTCGGGTACACGACGTGCCTCACCTCCGGGTCTCTGAGGGTGTAGATGGCAGGGTCGAAGAACAGGATGTCGAAGCAAGTGAACATGCCGAACTTGCCAGCAAAGGGGGTATCGAAGGTGATGTGGTCCACTTTGGGAGGGGAGTCAAAAGCGGCCTCGAAGTAGAGGTTGTGTTTGCGGTAGCGGTCCACGAGGGTCCCGTTGTCACTGAAAACCACGTCTGTGTTAAACTGGAACCGGCCGTCCTCGGGGCACCCTGCGTCGCCCAGGTGACAAGGCTCCTTCGTGCCCAGATTGGCCACCAGGAACATCTGCCCCCTGATGGCCATACAGCTCAAGCGCTGGAGGACCTGGAGGAAAAGGGCACATGGGTGAGTCCCTGCACTCCTGCCTGCGGCCTCGGGCTCCCCAGTGGGAGAGGGCCTGTGACATGTCTGTGATACGGAGATGCCCACCACTGAAAACGCATGCGGATGGGAGAGGTGTTCACAAAAGAAGAAAAACAAATGGTTGACAGACACCTGAAAATATGTCCGACCTCGGTAGTAATATTCCCCAAACCTCCAAACTCACTAGAACTGCCCCTGTGGGATCCCAAGACTGCCACTCTCTCTGGGAGCAGAAAGCCCGGTTTTGAACTGCTGAGTTTGCAGCCCAACATGTAACACACGACACCACCAGTCTGTTAACTGCAAGGCTAGCAGTTCAAAACCACCAGCCGCTCTGTGTGGGCAAGACAAAGCTTTCTACTCCTGTAGAGTTATGGTCTGGGAAATCCTTTCCATGGAGGGCAGTTCTACCCTGTCCTACAAGGTCGCACTCTGAGCGGGAATTGGCAGTGAGACAGATGTACAGAATAGAGTTGAATATCGTAGGAGCTACACCGAACCGCCGACAGCATTTTCTCTCGGTAGGGCAGGGGGGTGGGAATGGTTTGACCTTTAACTTTGTGGGTGGTTTGTTTTTTCACGAACACGTGTCCATGTAGCCTTTGTTTCGGAACTAGAAAGATCCACAGCTGAGACCACGCCCTGGCATAGCAGACCGTCCTTCACAGAAGGAACGAGGAGGTGGCCAGGCTTCTACGCTGGATTAGGCCTCCCTTCAGTCTCCGCTAACGCTGGCCCGCCCTGGGCTCCTGGCTCGAAGGCTGGACGCCGCACGCACCTCCGTGTCATTGAAGCGCTGGGTCTCCAGGCATGGGTTCCACCTCACCGACTGGGGCGCGGGCATGAAGTCCAGGAACGGGTAGATGGAAGTTCTTGTGAAGTTGAACCCGTGGATGCCGTCTTCTGGAAACACTATCAGCTGCGCGCCCTGTGAGCGGAAGGATCAGAGAGGCTCTGTGAGGCGGCCGGAAGCGCCCCTCCTCCCCTAGTTCACGGCTGGCTACTTGACCACCCTGAGCCGTCACGACTGGAGGTACAGAGCAGGCGGCTGGACTCAACGGGGGTTTTAGTGCTGGGGAAGATGTCTCTCTGGGCCCAATTCCCAGAGAAGAGAGGCCAAGTCCTCTATCAACGCCCGCTGCCTGTGCCTGGGGGCCTGTGTGCTTGCCCCAGGGAGTTTGCCAGGGGACTGGTTAGGCAGGCTTTGGGGATCTCGGTGTGCACGGGGAGATGAGGTTCATTACGAAGGGTCCCGAGATGGGGCCCTTTAGCAGGTAGGTCTTTCTAGTTCCTGTGCACCAGAATTTGGGGGGGACTTGTAAAGCAAATGGCGATGCTTTGGCCCCATCTCTAAGGAGAATTCTGAGGACTGACAGCGGGTGAGTTGCTGGCAACGGTGTTTGCCGAAGGGTCCCCTGGGGACTCCAACGCACAGCCTGCTGGGCCCACAGTGCGTAGTTCTCAGCATGGAAACAGGGCTCACTCTACAGTGAAATTCCCCAACCGGGAATCCGGAGGTTCCCCTCAGATCCCCGACCACCCTCCAGGCCTTTCCCCAAACCTCAGGGACACCCTGGGCTCCGCTTGACGTCTGCAGCGAGCTAAGGCAATCCAAACCACCAAGCATCCCAGGCCGGGGCCCAGCGGCTCCCTTGTGCTCTGCTCCTGTTCAGGGGCTGAGAGGGAGGGGGGGCGCACCAGGAATCCTGAGTAACCTTCCCGGAATGCATGGCAAATTCTTCATTAGTTTTCCTCCTGGGTTATAACATCTTAAAAAGTTTAATTGGAGAAAGAGTTGGAAAAATATATAAAGCAATGATTTATAATACTAGAACATACTTGTTAATCTTTCATTTTCATTATGTTGTCTATTAAGGAGCTTCAAAAAGGTCATGGAAAACTTCCATTATCATTTTTTTAATCACTGTTTTGAGAGGCTCTTACAAATCTTATAACCAGCCACAATTCAATAATACCTAATTCAAGCACACTTATATGTTGCCATCATCATTTTCAAAACGTTTTCTTTCTACTTGAGCCCAAATTCCATTATCTTTTAATTCTATTTTTTTCCTCAAACTTGTTGAAGCACCCTTGGATATACATATTAAAACAAACAAAAAACCTCAAATTCACTGACACTATGTTGATACTGACCCTATAGGATACAGAACTAACGCCCCGTGGGTTTCCAAGGCTGTAAATATTTAGGGCAATAAATCCTTACTCACAGAGTGGGTGGTGGTTTTGAACTACTGACCTTGATTAATAACCTTTAATGTGTAACCCTCTGTGCCACCAACTCTCCTTTGGTATACACACACACACACACACAATAAAAAAATGAATCCAGGCTTTCAGAAAGAAAGGGGGAAAGGGACTATTCCAGAAGAGAGTTAAAAAGCATTTACTGTTGGAGCAGAGGTCAAGAGTAAACAAAGCTAGGGAAAAACCCAGGTGTGTGCTGTGGTGGGGAGTGGACTGAGTGGGTGGCAGACGGCATCAGAATGCTTGGAGAAGGCCAGCCTGTCCTCCAGGGAGGAGACCTTGTAGAGGGGGGTGTGTTAGTTCAGGCCAAAGGTCATGAACTTGGGAGTCAGACAGCAACTCCAGCCCGGGTTTGGTTAAGTCGTGCTGTGGGTCTGGTTGACAAGTACTTTGCTTACTCATTCAGGAGGCCCGGGATGGGAATCGGAGGGTCTGTGCCTGGCCTGGTGGGGG